TTTGGACGGCCTGCATATTGTTATTAGATTACTTTGCTTGAGGCGTAGCCCCATGTGACACATGGCGCAGTTGTGTTGTTTATGGGAATATGCCACATGTGCACAGCACACACACACACGCACACACACACACTGACAGGCACGCGCACAACAAGCCCGAGGTCTGAAGCCTGAGCACTCTTGCATACCCTGTCAAGATGTAAGCAAATGGAAATCACGCGGCGTTTACGCTACGTGCATAAAAATAACAGCAGGAAATTAAAAGGATCCATGTGTGTGCACATGCCATAGATTTGTGTGTGCTTGTGCGTGTGTGTGTGTGTGTGTGTAGGCATATTGTGAGCCTATTAAGGCTCTCCGCTTAGCTGGACAACTCAACCAACGAGCGGAAATTTAATTGTTTTTGCTTCTACCACTCAGAACTAAACGAGTCGCTACCCTTCGAGACATGTCCACGCCCTGTGCTCAGTTCTTGTTGTCCTCGCACATTTAATAAAGTTTATTGCATTTGGTGCTCCTGACGTGGAACCTCTCAGGCCAAATGGCAAATGACAATCGCGTGCCAGGCATTGACATACTTCTGAATACTGTGAATACTTGTGCACTTCAATTATTCAATTATTTAAAAGGATATCAAAGACAAGCGAATAAAAACATTTGTGTAATGATTAAAAACGTATAAGGGTTCCCAAATAAATAACTTTATTGAAATAATATCAAGTAAATAATAATAAAATCAGGGAATTGTGATTTCGTAGGTACATATATCATGCAAGCTTTCACCTTAATTCAAGTGTCAAACTGTGTTAAATAGGCTTAATGTTTGGCTTGAGCCTTTCTATGCAATTCTCATAACTAAACGCAAGTCGATTGGCTATCCCAAAACAATAAATGTAGGGCATTACGATTTAATAAGTAAATAATGCAGGTTTTAACCCTAATGCAAGGCATTGTAACAGCTTCAGATTTTGAGTTTAATTGAAGTGTCAAACTCTGATAAACTAAACACTTAAATTGAGTCTTTCTATGCAATTCTCATGACGCAACGCCAGCCAATTGGCCAGCCCATAATAAATGTAAGGCATTATGATTTGCTAAGTAAATCATGCAGGCTTTAACCTTAATTTAAGTCTCCAACCTTGTTATATAAGTTAAACATGCGCCTTTCTATGCAATTCTCATGACGCAACGCAAGTCGTTTGGCTACCCCAAGCCGCCGGCTATTGTACTTTTAGCTAATATAATTCCATTCCATTCTTAAGGTGAGCTTTAAGCTTCAACGCATTACACGCGTAACAAATTGACTACAAAAAAAAAAGAAAAATAAAATGAAAAAAAAAAACAAAAACAAATTTCACAATGCGACGCAACAGAAGCGCTGACAAATTACAATAACAAGAAGTAAAGAACTTTTACATGCTACGGCAATTACGCGGCGCAAGATATAGGCAGAGAGAGGGAGAGAGAGGCACAGAGAAAGGGAGAGAGAGAGGGAGTGAGTGGGATAGATAGAGATTGAAAGGCAAAGACGTTTGCGTCTGCGTGTTTTTTGCCTTTTTGCACTTGCCTTTTGGCTGGCTTTTTGCTGTTTTGTGCTTCAACTTGAAAATAAGCTAAAAGTAAAATGCGCAAAAAGCAACAACAATAACAAGAACAACAAAAACGAGACACGCAAAGCTATAAAAATGCCTTAAATGTCGTTTATATATCACACATATTGTGTACTTGTGTATGCATGTGTGTGTGTGTGTGTGTGTGTGTGTGTGTGTGTAAATGTGTTTATATGTGTTTCTGTAAACTGGATGCGTCTTCTGCTGCCGCTGCCGCGTCTGCTGCCGCTGCTGCTGGGCAAGATTTTTGTAGACAACAAAGCAAACGCAACCACAACAACAACAACAACAACAACAACAACAGCAAAAGCCAACAGAACAACCTGTTTTTTTTTGTTGTTTCGCATTGAACGAGATACGTCGACGGCGACAGGTTTTTTTTCACGTTTCTTAATGCGGGCCAAAATCTCAGCAATGTGACGGCCAAAACACACACAGACACACACACACACATGCCGCCCCCTTAAAACTGCCGCCCCACACTCTTACACTCTCGCTGAACGCTCTCAGCCCTTCTCAGCTCTAACTCGCTGGCTTCCACTCTTGCTCTCTCCCTCGCTCGCTCGCTCTCACTCTCCCATTTGAAAGCTTAGACACGCTCTTTGTTGTTGTTGTTGTTGTCGTTCGCCGCTTTTCGTTTTTGTTCTAAGCTGCTGCACGAGCGAGATGGCAACAGTTGGCTGCCCGCACCTCTCGCTCGCCCGCGTGTGGACTCTGCCAAAACCTGTTTTGGCGCTTTGAACACGAAATTATATGCCTTTGTTATATTTTCTACTTATTACACTTGCAGCGGGCATTTTAGTTTATATACCAAAAATGGCGCGCAAAATAATATCAATATTAATAAATATTAGATTAAAATAATCAGCATTAATAATAATAATAAATTATCTATTTTTATGTTAAACATTTTCTGCACTTGATGTGCTTGAAGTTGGAAACGTATTCGAAGTGCAGTGAAAATTGATTGAGTATTTCGACAAACTCTGGTCACACTGTTGTCAGTGTTGATCAGCGAAAAAAAAAGAATTAGTATTGATTAGCTGGGCAGTTTATTGCAACTACAGTTTACACTTTTAAGAGACAAACATTTGTTCGTTAGGGTATTTCAACTTCGCTCATCGCTGATTTATTTTTACTCGACTAACAACACACTTCATTGTTGTTGTTGTTGTTATTATGCCTTTTGCCGGTCTTTCATATATGCAGCGATTCGTTCGGCTTGGCAAATGTATTTTCAACTCGCCTTTAGGTTCAACTGTCAAATGATGAATCAGATGAATCACCTGTTGTTCAATTCGAGTGTCTCGCAAAATAACTCAACTGCATTCGGTTCTGATCTTCGAAACTGAAGACCATGACCGCGTATATCCCCCCCATAATGCTGACCGTGTGCATTGTGTATTTTACTCTCTAGTGACTACAACTTTCACTAATTAAATGCTATTAATTAGGCCGATTACAATAAGTAATTATGAGCGTACGAGTGTATTTATGTATATATATATTTATATCGAAATCTCATTAAGTTGAAATTGTGACAGTGCTTAAGTGTATTGTTGATTGGATCATGCACATAAATACATACATATATACATATGCTTATGTGTTAGTTAATTATTTCAGTTAATATCAATTTACCTGTCAGAAATTGTGAGACAAGCGAAAAATATTAGAATTCCAATGAATCAATTCTATAAATTGAATGTTTTTGTTCTTGTTGACTTTAATGGTTAATTTTGCATACATTATTTAATTTGCAATATAAAAAAATGAGTTTACAAGCGATTATTGATCGCCTTTGAGAATTACATAGAAAGGCGCTCTTGACGCTAATTTGTTCTTGCTAATGTTAATGTTAACTTCTATGCTAATGTTATTTCTTAAGCCAATAAGCTTCTATTTGCAGTTGAAGCGATTTTTAAACTCTTTGCTTAACCTTTGAGAAGTGCATAGAAAGGCGCACGTTAAACTGTCAATTTGAGTTGTTTCTGTTTCTTTTCGTGAAGGTTTATCTAATTCACAACCTGAATCTAACTCTAATTTTCATGGGCTGGTTAAGCAAACATATTTGAGTGCTACATAGAAAACTCGAGCTAAAAAAGGTCTCACCTTTTCCGCTGTCGCAACTTCCTAATAAACAATGTCATTCGTACATTTTTCAAGGCTTGCATTTCTTGTGCTTGTTGTTGTTGCACGTTTTTTTTTTTTTGTTTTTTTGTTTGAGTTGAGAACCTGAACAGTCGAATGGGTAAACAAATATGATTGTAAAAATATTTAGATAAGTGCGACAAGTGTACAAATTCAATGCATAGATACATAAATTCCTATGTATATCAGCTCGAGGGGTTCGCCCAAAACAAATTCCAATAACAATTTTGTTTTATTTTTGTAAACAGGCAAATAAAATTGATTAGCTCAACGATGCGTAAAAGGGACGTCTATTTATGGTCAGAATTTGATTTGAATGATGGATTATTATTATGATAAGCATCAATTAAAGCTTGACACTCGGATAATATCAATGGCCATTAACATTTCTCGACATTTGAGAACTTTCCTAGAGAAACCTGACCGAGAGCAATGGCAAAAATTAAGCTTCTTGACTTTGATTAATTAAAATTTGCTTATAGAATTATGGTGGCACTATATGACAATAAATTCGTGTTGCCTATCAAAAGTTTGCAATCTTCTTCACGGAACTGGTTCAGTTAAACGTGTAGAACGTCGACAGATGCCGGCTAAAGATATGGTTGAAAAATATGCGAAACTAGCTAGACACAGACTGGGACATACGACAAACCCATTTAAATTTCTTTAGGCTATGGCAAATGAATTAGTTAGATTTTTGTTTGTTATTTTTTCTGCGCGGTTACCTTATTTTTTTCGTATTATTCCGGTTCAAGGCAAGGCGAAAATTTGCAATTAAATGAAAATGAAAATTTCATGAGCTCTACGGCGGGGTACATTGAACTTCTTGAGCGAAATGAATTTTTTTTTTCTCTCTCTCTCTCTTTTATTTTAGTATTTTTTTCGAAAACTTTTCAACGAGTTTGCCAGCAAATGTTTCAATAGGAGTTTATTTTTGGCTTTAGGGTAACAAAAACTCTTCAATTTTTGCAGCATTTAAGTGTTGAAGACGCCAGCGGGAAACGCCATGAAAATGTATTTCGTGCGCAAGCAAGTGCGTAAAAAATACTAGGAAAATACCAACAAAAATACCAGCAAGTAAAAGCGAGTCTTGAAATAAGCATCAAGCAGAAATCTTTAAGCAAACCCAATTTTTGGCTTGCAAAAAAAAAGCTAAAATTAAGTCGGGACTAAGCTAAGTGTCCCGCGTAACTAAAAAAATATCAAATAGGCCAAAGTTTTGATATTAAAACGGCAGCACAACGGCGACCATCGGCTACCAAATGATGAAACGACGCTGGTCGAACAATGGCGGCTTCCTGCGCATACAGGAGGAATCCTCCTCGGAGGTGACCTCCTCGAGCAACGGCCTGGTGCTGTCATCGGGCATAAACATGTCGCCCTCCTCGCTGGACTCGCACGACTACGGCGAACAGGAGCTCTGGCTGTGTGGCAACGATGCCAGCGTCTATGGCGGCAGCAGCAACGGGGTCAATGGCAACACATTGGGGCATGGCAATGCTGCACAGCAACAGGGCGTCATAACGCTCGCCATGCACGGCTGTTCCAGCACGCTGCCCGCCCAGACCACCATAATACCCATCAACAACAACAACAACAACAACAATAACAACAACAACAATAATAATAATAATAATAATAACAATAACAATGGCTATGTGCCGGGTGCCACAAATCTGGGCTCCCTGACAAATGGCAGCCACATGGGCAGCCTGGTGAATGGCATGCAACAGCTGCAGAATGGTCACAGTCTGATCAATTCAACGACAGCGCCCACAACGCCGTTGCATATGCAACAACAACAACAGCAGCAGCAGCAACAACAACAACAACAACAGAATAATAACGGACACAATGGTGTTGCCACAATCGGTGGCATGTCCGTGGGCATGAGCCTCAATACGCATCTCCACACCAACGGCAATACGAATGGACTCGTCTCTGGCTCCGTCGGAGTTGGCGGCGTCGCCGTCGGCCCCATGGGCGGACCCATGGGCATGGCCATGCAGCATACACCCCGCAGTGATTCAGCAAATTCCATTTCATCAGGTTAGTGGGCCAAATATACAGACTCAATAATTGCATTTCCTCTTAGTCTTAAGCCTTTTTATTACAATTTAATCAAGGTGGGACATTTATTGTAGAAAGTGCAGTCGCTGGTTGGTTGAGAGTTCGATATAAATATATTAAACTATGACTTAGCTTAACCTAAGCTAAACTATGCTCTATTTAGGTTTAGATTTATGTTTACAACTTCTTTTGACATAATTTCATATATGTAACCATGTGCCTTTTACTTACAAATAACGTTTAAGTGTTGATTAACAAAGTATTTGCTTGAAGCAGTTAAAGATGTATTTAGATAATGTGAAGAGCTTTATAGTTCTATAATGGATTATCCTCAATATCAGTTTGTCTTAAGAAATATAAATCAAAAAGCCCATCGTTTTCAAAAAGCGCATCGTTTTAAAAAACTTACTCGCATAACGATCATTAAATACTTTCAAACACCATAAGGCTTTGCTTTAGACTAACTACAATTCATCTCTAGTGTTGGAGAAGCGTTTAGACGTGAAAGTTTGCAGAAAATTTGCAAATATTGACTATTATAGCAAAGATGACTTAGAAATCTCTGAAAAAATGAGCGAATTTTAATTTGAGTTGAATATAACCTTATTTGAAGTGTTAGCAAACGGCTTAGAACATCATGCGTCGCAAACAATCGCAAATATTGACAGCTCAGCAATCTGTCAGACTATAAGAATATACAGATGACACAATCTTCCAAAATATTACAACATTAACGTCGATCAGCAATTGATCAGCATATATTTCAAATTAAATTCCAGTGCTGTAAAGGCACTTGGTATGCATGGAGGCTTACTTGCACTATAATTAGATATCCATATGTCGCATTCCATTTGAATGACTACAACGTTTAATTTTTTATTAATTCCGTTTTAAATCAACGCTTGTTGACAGTGTGGTGCGGAAGGAGGGGGGGGGGGGGGGGGGGGGGGGGGTGTGTGTGGCGTCCTCCTCACCCACTCGCGTTGTTGAACACTGCACTAATTAAATTTTACTGCGTTTATATTTTTATGATGCGCCTTTTTTACGATTTGCGTTGTTTCCCTCTGTGTTTGTTGTGCACACAGAAATACATATAAAAACGGAAAGAAAAAAATGTGCATGCATAATGCGAAGTCCATTGAAATGGCGCCCGAGCAGGGACCGCGAGGGTTGCAACGCAACGGCACTTAAAGAGTTCTCGACAGACTGGGCACGAGGGGGAGATGCATTTATTGTTATTGTTTCGCTTGCTTCGGACTTTATCAGGCTGCGTCATGGAAGGCTGCGTCACACGCACACACGCACGCACACACGCACGCACACACACACACACACACACACACAACCACGGGACAATGTGCAGCCATAGGGGCGGTTGCTGTAACTCGAACCTACCTCAAGTTGTTCTATATTTAGTGTGCTCCTCCGCCAGCAACTGGTGGTAAAGGCAAAACTGCAACGCCAGAAATTCCGATGGAATATTGAGTAAAAAATTCTGTTCAAAGATGACGTCACAGCGCGGGTTCACAGCTTCCAAAGTGACCGAGCAGACGACCTCGTCCTCGTCCTAGTCCTCGTCCTCGTGCTCAATTGCAATGGCGGGGATGCATGGGAAACCGGGTCACAGCATTTGCATGCTGCACTGTGACCCAATTGTCGTAGGTCAGGGACACGAGCAGCTGAACAGCTGCTGCTGCAGCAACTGTTGCTGCTGGCTGTGACACAGTTTGTCCCAAGTGGCAAGTGTCCCTGTTCCGGTCAGCGAAGCGCCAGCGAAATGGTCCAGCGGCATGTCAGGGTCAGGTCAAGTGTGTTTGCATTTTCAAGGATTCAAAATACATATGAGTATTATATTAAATTTAGTTAAACGTTGAACCTTAGATTGATTTTCCTTTAAAGAATATAACCCCAAAAAATATACAAATGCTTTCAAATTAAATTCATAGGCTTATGTTCTTAACCTCAAACTAAAGTGTGCACAATGCTCTATAAATACATTTACGGTTTTTTTTTTATTTCATAACATTTCGCACTCAAATTAACGTTATCTAGCTGCGATCTTAAGCTCAAACTAAAAGTCAACTCAGCTTTGAAAAGTGCTCAAAAATGCAGCACAAATTTTCAACTTTTTGGCAAGTCATACAAAAACTGCAAATTCAAAGCTCACGTATTTTTATTAACACTCATAGCGCACTCCCTCCCTACTTCCCTCTCTCGCATTCTCAGCTTGCATGCTCTCGCTCATCTTCGAGTGGAGCCCAAACAGCTGTGTTGCTATGGATGCGTTTTGTTGTTGTTGTTGTTCTTCTTCATTTCAAGTGGTTTTGAACTCAACTCGTAATTTTTGAGCAATTTGGGTCACTGGTGCAGGCTCAAAAAAGCCGTTGCTGACTAAAAACCGCAAGGACAAAGCTGTCGAATGTGCATATGACTGCACACATTTTACAGCTCTCTCCCTCTCACTTACGGCTCTCCCTTGGCTCTCTGCACAGCTTTACGTGCCATTGCAAGCGTTGCAAGCTCAAGTACATGACCTTACCCCTGCAGACAAGCAAAGCAATACGATGCCGACGGCGACAGCGACGGCGGCGTCGACAGCGACGCTTAAGCAGCTACCGGTAACGACATCAGTTTCTGCTCTGCTGCTGTGACGTGTGTGCGTGCTTTTTGCACAATTGTTTGCCCGGTTTTGAGCTTATTATTTGCGTGTCTTTTGTTAGCTTTTTGGGCATGGGTTACCTTAGCAGGGTGGCAAGCTTAATTTTTAGGGTTGCTGTTATTCGATGCCTTGCCATGACATAATTTTGAGCGCTGCTGCTGCGGCGATCCAAAGCGTCAAGGACAACAGCAGCAGCAGCAACAACAACAAGAACAAAATAAAATACAATTTGTACAAACACAAATAAATAAAACAAACGTTTTATATGGCAACTGCAAATAAAAGCGATAAAAACAGAACGATAACAGTCGCAATCGGCGTCGCAATCGCCGTCGACGTCGCGGTCGCAGTCACCATTGCCAGTTGACGACGGCGTTTTAGACTTGCACTCGCACACAATGCAGCTAATTTGTCACATGTGTGTGCGCGTGTGTGTGTGTGTGTATTCGCATGACGAAAAAAAATGAGGTCAATGATTTTGTGCGCCGCCATCGTCAGTTATCGACGTCGCGATCGAGCGGCCGGCCGAAGCGCACTTCGTGTGCAAGCGCCAAGACGCGAGACCCAACAGCAGCAGCAGCAACAACAAACACAGCAGCGCTTAACTAATGAGCGTAAAAATTACGACGCTCTCGCGCTCTCTCACGGCCGCCCGCAAATTGAAATGGACTCACGCGCGCATTCATTTGATTAACAGCGCTGTTGTTGCTGTACTCACTGCTGTTGTTGTTGTTATTGTTGTTGTTGTTACATGGCATGCACAAAATTTTATTCATGCTGCTGGCTCAACAACATAGTGTGTAGTTTGTGTAAGCGAGATTGTAGTTGTATATGTCGTTGTTGCTTCTGATGCAGTTGTTGTTGTTGTTGTTGTTGTTTGCCTACTTGTAATTACGCCGTCTCTTTCCGACGCTTTGACATTGATAAGCTGTGCGCATTGCTGCCGACAGCGCTGCCGGACAGTGCATGACAATTGTGCCTGACTTTGACTTTTAGTTTGTTGCCATTTTTTATTTCTTTTTTTGTAAGCGATTTGTCATGGCAATGCAATGCAAACATTTGGGATTTGCATATAAATAACTTTACAGTAATTTGATCAGCAGCTACCTGTACATAAATAAACTTTCAGATATACATATGTATGTGTGTATGTACATAAAAAGAATATACATATGTTTTGTAACTCATCTTCTCTAATGAGAAATTTTTTTAGACAGGCCAAAAATGCAAGTGGTAGCCATTTTGAAAGTAACTCACATGCGTGTGACGTCAGCCTGATAAAGTTTTGCCAGCAGAGCACATACACATGCATGCAAGCATATGCATGTGTTTACACACCCATGTGCAGTAAATGTGTGTTCTGCATGTACTTGTGTCTGTGCATTCTTAGTATGTTTTATTTTGTTTTTTGGCTATTTTCGTACACTTGGCATTAATTTGCAATCAAATGAGAAACGCAAAGAAAGCGTAGCGTCAGCGTCGACATCGCTGCCGAGAGATTTTTCGTTTGCCTTTGGCGCGCAGTCAACGTCAAGTGCATTAGCCGTAGACGCTGACGGCGACAGTGAGACAGTGACGGCGACGTCGACGCAGCTAGCGTATGTGTGTGTGTGTGCGCGCTTGTGTGCGAGTGCATTTAGCGAACACGTTTTTATAGGTTAATGACACAACCGGCTGCGCGAGCAGCAGCGGCTAGAAACTATTTTATATTTAATTTAATTTAATTTAATTTTAAACACAGCGCGCAGCTGCGTCGCAGCAAAATCAAAAGTGAAATTGACAGCAAGCTGATCTGCTGATAAAACATACAGTAACATATATGTATGTATACATATGCACATACATACATATTTATGTTTTTGATTTTTGGCGTGTGGGGCATAATTTTTGTGTCACTGTGCTGCTAAATATAAATGTAAAATTAAAAAAAAAAATAAACAATAAACATATTTAGGCAGCACGCAAACTATGTCAGTAGTGTGTATGCACAAATGCTGTGCACACACTTTCATAAGCGCACACATACATACACACATATAGATATATACTTGAGTATTTTATTAGCCAAAAACAAAAAAAAAAAAAAAAAGAGCAACATATTGAAATAAAAGTGCCAGGAATTTGTGTTCGAAAGCAAAACGAACAAACAAGAAGAAAAATGAAATGCTAAGAATACACTTTTTCTTATTAGGCAACAACAGCAAACAGAGACAGTGAGAGCGAGAGAGCAAGCGATTGCGAGAGAGTGAGAGTGCCGAGAGCTTTTGTATTGAGCGTCAGCTGCAGAATGAACGCGCAGTGAGACCAACTAACACACAAT